TTTCAAGATCTGCTTGCTGAAACACCAAATTAAATTCTGATGATTCCAGGCGATGTCAGTATGTTGCATTCTTTACATGTATTTCATTTCTAAATCTGTTTTATCTAGATCCATGTGTCACTTTGGACTGTAAGAAAGGCACAGTGTGTAAACTCGAAGACGACAGACAACCAAAATGTCGATGCAAAGATAAATGTACTGAAGAAATTAAACCTGTTTGCGGTAGTAATGGAGAAACGTACGACAATGAGTGTCTATTGCACAGACAAGCTTGTGTCACTGGACGAGAGATAAGAGTCATCAGTGACTGCATGCAGCCCACGTAATAGTAAGTTGTATCATGTGACTTTTACTGATTTTGATGTACACCTGTGTCATCATACGGTAATGACTTTAGGTACCACTACAATTATTCTTCATACTTGTTAATGGGCATGTAATAGCTAGACACACCAGTAGGCTGATTGTGAAGCAAACAATAATTGTGTTGGCTGTTGCCATGGGAACAGTCAAATTTAGAGCAACTACACAAATTCTACTTTGTCTCTCGTATCCATGGTAATGACTGGCTATTTTTTTCTTTCAGACCCTTGTACTGATGTGGATTGTAAATTTGGAAGTTGTGAAGTTAATCAAAATGGTGAGACCTCATGTTTGTGCCGAATTGAGTGTGCCGATATCTACGCCCCAGTGTGCGGCAGTAATGACATCACATATAATAATGAATGTGAATTGCAAAAGCAAAAGTGTGAACAAAAAGAGGATATAACTAAGAAAAAAGACGGTCCATGTGGTAAGTACCAGTTCTTTCTGTCCTTGGATCTTTATTTGGTAAATTTTCACCTGTCTAACTGCCATAAATGGTCATTATTTACATATAATTTGGTTTACAACTACATGTATATGTAAAATATCAATTCTTGTCAAATTACCGGGGGTATCTGCATTATTATTACAAGTCATATTAAGACTAGAAAGCACATGACACACCAAATATGAAAATCATTTGCCTATGATGCCAAATATGGAGCTTATTTGCATATGACACCAAATATGGAGCTTATTTGCATATGACACCAAATATGGAGCTTATTTGCATATGACACCAAATATGGAGCTTATTTGCATATGACACCAAATATGGAGCTTATTTGCATATGACACCAAATATGGAACTTGTTTGCATATGACACCAAATATGGAGCTTGTTTGCATATGACACCAAATATGGAGCTTATTTGCATATGACACCAAATATGGAACTTGTTTGCATATGACACCAAATATCGAGCTTGTTTGCATATGACACCAAATATGGAGCTTATTTGCATATGACACCAAAGTTATTTGCATCTAATGAGGTATAAATTTTGCATGTTTTTATTTGAATTTGTCCAAAATGTGTGTTTTTCTTTTCTTCCAAAAAATAGGTGACATGACCAGAAAAGCTTGCAAAAAATTCCAGTGTGATTATGGTGCCACATGTGCATTAAATGAGCGTGGTGAGCCATACTGTGACTGCGAACTTGGTTGTAATGATGAATATGATCCAGTCTGCGGTTCAGATGGCATGACTTACAGTAATATATGCCAGCTTAATGTTGCATCATGTCAGCAACAAAAAGAAATTCTGGTCATTGTGGAGACAGCATGCAGTAAGTTGACAGTCTTATCTTGTGTAGTCACTACTTGTGTACAGCAGTTTTTGTTTCCCTTTGGGTGCCGTCATTAATTCCACCAAATTGTTAGCGCAACAGTTAACATATTGTAAATATATATGTATTTTTTGATCATTTCTTGATGAAATTGCCGACATGATCAACATTTTTCAAAAAAAAATTTGTTTTCTGTGAATGGTGAAAAAAACAATTTTTCTATTCAATATATTAGATACAGGTACATAGACTTACAGTAGTGTGAAAGTTGTTGGTGGAAACACATGTATGGATAAATAAATGGATAAATTTGTTATGGAAATTTATAAGAAATTTGCCATGAAAGCTGTCATGCTTATGAATCTAAAGATTATGCTTACTGAACCCATAACCCGAGTCTGTATACGTTAACGTATTGTGATTGGTCAGGTTGTTTCCAACCGCTTTTTAAATTTATAAATATTTGATATAAAAAGGATTTTCATGCCTTCATGAAATTCACTGTAACTACATGATTGACTTACAGATGATTGTGAAAGAATAGATTGTCAGTTTGGATCGATATGTGATGCAAACGGTGCACAGGGTGCAACCTGCGTATGTCCAAACGGCTGCATTCAAGTCTATGCCCCTGTATGCGGTTCAGACGGTAATACGTATAACAACGAGTGTGAACTCAAAGTGCAGACATGTCAGATGCAGAAGATGATTGAAGTGGTTGCTCAAGGTCCTTGCGGTAAGATTCCTATATAATACTGTCAGGGCATTTGTGAAGATTAAATTTCATGAACGTCTTGCTTCTGTGAAATTACAATCTTTGGATAATATCTATGTGTTTCATTGTCATTGCATGTAATTAAGTAACAAACTAACTGACTTTTCAGGTTGTCTTCTCCACAAACTTTCATTCCATTCCAGTAACAATATTATAGGTATATTATATATGGGTATATTGCTTCTCACTTCATAAACTATCCCGACAAATTAGAATTTAGGCAGAATTTGTCAACCAGTTAGAGCATTCTAAATTAGAAAGCAGTCTGTAAAACAAGTTCTGATTGGTTGATGATCAAATGACAACTGAATTTGATAAGATAGTCAAGTCTGCGGCAAAATACGCTGGCGTCCAAAATGATTATGTCTTTTGTCTGCATCAGATTTCAATCAGATTGGTAAATTCTGTAACAGTCAATTAGACGAGAACATTACAACTCCATTATCAGTTCTCTAAATTACCGCAATTTCACTCAAAAATTGTTTGTTCGGAAGCCTAATCAAGTAAAATTTGTCTTTGCTTGGGAGTTTCAAACTAGTAACTTATAAACGAAATGACGACTACAGAAGTATTATTTAGAAATGCATCTTGTTTGTTTCTTGGTAAAACAGTGAAATGATAGCCGTTCTTTCAATTCCTTCGCAGCAGATACTTTTATTAACCGTAGATTACTAACCACAGGTCAGTATCTGTATTGAGTATGGTTATATGGTCCTCTCATAATGCCCTGTAATAGCATGATGGGTGAATACGGTGACAATATTGTGTCTGCATATTGCCCTAGTAGTCGTATAATGACCAGTAGGAGCATGGTACTACTGATTTGAATTTATATTGACCTTGACCTTGCATACAATGTTAAGATAATGCTCTCTCTGTGGTAGTGTACTACCATCCTATATGGCTTTATTGCCATGTTTCATTTGTATAATGACCTGTAGAAGTGTGATAACACCCAGCTTGTGTTTCTTCCCTGTAATGCCCTTCAATATTGTTGATTGGAGAATGCATTCATCCGATATGGCAATATAATGTATATAATGTCCTGTAATATTGATAATAATATAATACTTCATTATTTGTTCCAGTAACTCAATCATCTGTGTTGTATATAATGTTGTTAATTTCCAGACACCAGATGTTCATTGCATCCGCTTCAAACCATGATAATTCTCCTACCATGCCTTGTCATGACTTTTCCATACCCCTCTAATGTTTATTTTTTGAAATTATTCCTTCAGACACCTTATGGTAAAAAAGATCAATACAGTTTCATAAAATACTTTGTAAATTACTGATAGTTTGCAGATAGATTGCATTGGAAATCAAAAACATCATACATTAAGTTTTATGCTTTAATGTTTTGTATACATGTCAACATGAAGCCGACTGCATTTGTGAAACTGTATTGAGCTCCCACCTTCTTTCATTTCGTTATTTTAACCCAGAAATTATATCATCTTTACTTCTCCTTCTGTTGCATGACATCATTCCATCACAGAACCCAGTGACCAATCAGGTCAGTTCCACAATATCAACAAACTATTTGCACTGCTGTGTCTTGATGAGCGCCCTCTATCACTTGATGTTGCTTTTATAATGTTCATTTGTTTTTATTTCTTAACTGGTTGTTTGTTTTATACTGGCTTTTCACTACTGATTTTGAAGCTAAGATCACAGTTACACCTGTCAAATGTAGTTCAATGCACTGAAAAAACAAGCTTGAGAAACACTCATTCAATAGACCACTTCCCCGGAAGTAGCGAGACTGAGGTGCAAGCAAGATGCCTGCTTTCGTAATGACGACAAATACATGTTAGACTGCTGGTATTTGGTGCATTGCAGGTACATGTAAAACACTGTATACTCAACCATTTGGGAAAGTGGTCTATGATTGTCATTCAATTGCCAATTCCCATACAAACAAAAGATTTTTATGTTGAGTACATTGAGGATCAGTATCACTAAAATCCTAGTTTGATAGAATTCTTTCTGCAAAGCTGAAATGCAATTTAGACCATTGGTTTAGGTTCCCGAGATAGACAGAAAAGTTTGTTTTCTGCTCTATTCTTGCTCACTGATCACCTGTTACTGTTTCGTCTTGCTATGTAGAGAAGAATCCAAATTAATACTCATAGCTTAATAGAAGCTGAATACAATTAGAGTTAGGATTGAGCAATGCCAACACTATCATGAACACACACGTATCCTGGCATTCTCTGGTATCCTAGTAATTGCACTGTGTCCAGTATTTGTGGTGAGAGTGCAGCTAACATACATACATACTTTTTATTTTCAGTGAAACTTTTCCAAACTTATAAAAAAAAGTGGTAATTCTTTGACTCAAAAAAATAACAGGATGTCTGTTTGTCTTTGTCAGCAACACTGTGACCTCTACTGTCTTTCAATCCATTATTAACCCATTATCATTTACTTCTCCTTCTGTTGCATGACATCATTCCATCACAGAACCCAGTGACCAATCAGGTCAGTTTCTTCAACAACTTCTTGCACTGCTGTGACTTGTTGAGCGCCCTCTATAACCCGATGCCACTTGTGTAATCTGCTTTTGTTTTTATATGTCACTGGTTGCTGCTGATCACTTTCTCATTAATTTTGAAGCTGGATTGTTTAGGTCGATTGTTATTTGCCTGTTTTTTGAAGAACAGCATTTTGGACTATTGTAATTCAAATAAACAAACAAAATTTATAGAAATTGCAGAGGGCAGTATAACAGAAACTTCAAAGATAGCTGAATCACATTGAACAGCCAAGTTGTGCACTTCATGATGTGTTCATTGCTACATGATATATGCGCTCCCTCCTCTGCTCACAAAAAATACACAACAACAATGAAAAAGATTGCACTTGTTTATACACACAATCACCAGCTGTTCTTCTCGCTATCATTTCTTCTCACTGGGCGGTGGAAAATCAATACCAATACACACAGTTCATTTGATCTATTTGATTTGATTTGAATTGTGGATTCAGTATTTTACAGAGTGTATTACATATTTGCTTTATTAGTAGCGCATACATTTACATAATTTACAGGAATATTTCTATTAGCAAAATAATTCGATTTGATTTATTCTTTATACAATTTTTGGCTTATAAGTGCTTCTAACAGAGATGTGTTTTTAATAGATTAAGTATGATTTGCGGTTATTTGCAAGATGATTTAATCAAAATACTGGAATTCCAAAACTGCACTTAACTAAATTTTGTGAATGAATCATGCATTACAAAAAC